TTTTTTTTTTGTTTTTTTGATTTTTTGTTGTATTTTTGTGCTCTCTTCAAAAACAACTATGTCACTGTTATTTATTTTTATATCATAAGTGCAATATTTTATATATTTACCTTGTGACGCTGGACTTAACATATGAAATTGCACTGAAGACCCACCAATACTATGGCCGAAAATTGTTATGGAATTGGAATCCCCACTAAAATAAACTGCATTATCAAATACCCACTTCAATGCTAAATTTTGATCCTTAAGTCCAAAATTTCCAGGCATGTATTCATCACCCGTACTAAGAAAGCCTAAAATTAGCATTGGGAGTTGTTTAAAATTTTAAAATATGTTAATAACACATAATTCAGCCATTTTACCAAAAGGACCTAAACGATAAGCAAAAGTTATAAGTATAACCTCTTGTGTATCCATAAAGTAGGCTGGGCCTAACATGTCAGGATGTGGTGATCCAAAGCTAAAACCACCACCATGTATATAAAAAATAATTGGTAATAATTTTGTACTCCTTTGCTGAAAGATATATAAATAACAAGAATTATTATTTTTTCTTTACAATATGATATGATAGGTAAGAAAATAATTTTAATCAAGACTAAAGTGGAAAATACGTAATTGGTGAGAGTTTGCTGTTAGTATGAATACTAAAATTAATAATTATAGTATAGTATTGTATAGTAATTTATATTACTTGCTATAAATTATCAGCCAATGCCACAGTCAATACTTACAACAGGACGATATAAATTTAAATATAAACAATCTTCAACTCCCATAATAGGGTGCGTTTCCAAAAAATAGTTTTTTTGTAAACAGCTTGGTTTCGGTTTAGTGGCTTGCATTACATTTTCCCATGACCCAAAAGGTTTGGGATTCTAAAATTTAAATATCCTTTATCATAAAGTAATGTATAGCAGTTAAAGTACTTACTTGCAGTCTTAATTTGCCTACTGGTGGCTTGGCATATGGTATTCCCATAAAAGCTTCAAATTTTTCTATTTGAAATCCAAACAAATATGTACCTTGCAGACATCCTAAGTTCGGTATACAAACTCTTAAATCCGTTTCCTCAGCAAGAGAATTGATTATTATAGTAAAAATATTTAAAAATAAAAGCGCGATAGATTTTCTTGACATCTTTCTAGTTTACTTATCAATATAAAAATGATTTCAAAATATATTTTCAAAAAGATTTTGTAAAATACAGTGGTCGTCCAGTATAACGAACGCTCTATATTACGAATTTTCGATATAACGAACACCCAAAATATTTACATTGATTGTTCTATATAACGAACGAAAAAAAAAATTCTGCTCCATATTACGAACAAAAAATTTTTTGTTTCTTATTCGTTTTTGTTTTATACAAATTATGCTTTTGAATATAATTTTACTATAAAACTAGCATTATTCAGCTTAGAATATGCATGTAATTGTCCGTTTTTTTTTTTTTCTGAGAAAAATGCCTATATATGTATGGCAAAATGCATATATGCAGGCGCCACTGATCTGTTGTTATGCTTAAATATCCTATATTATATTTTCAATTTGATTGTTAGTGTGACATTAGTACATACGAAGTTAATAAATGGAATAATGCTGATAATACCATCGATGTCTCGGACGAGGATGATGGATCTGATGACGAAAATATAGAAGAAAATAATTTAGAAATTATTAAACATAAAGATGCCATAAATCATTTCGAAAAATGCATAAAGTGGGCGATTAACAATAATGAAACTTCAAAATTAGCTGTACTAAGAAAACTACAAGAAAAAGCTGTTCAGAAAAGTCTTGAGTGTAGTAAAAAACAAACAAAAATTAATGATTTTTTTTACTCTACACTATGATTGAATGCGTCCTTTCTTATAAATAATTTTTGTAACAACCGAATAAAAAATACTTTTAAATAAATATATACTCGTACGTGTTTATAAGTTAATTTATGAACTCAAATATATGAAGTCTCCTAAAAATAACCATATTGGTAGGTAAATGTACAACATTCGATATTACGAATTTTTCGATATAACGAACAAGGGGTGCAACATAAAATTCGTTATATTGGACGTCCACTGTAAATACATTATTAATTAAGTATTAATAAAATCTGCTCATGCTCCAATAACAACACATCAATGCAATTAAACATATAAATGTCAGTAAATGTTAATATAAAAAATTAAATATGTATTTATGTATGTATATATATATTTATATGTTTATACTACGTTATGTATGTACGAATATGTAAGCGCTTGATACAGTAATTTATAAAACTTAATTATGAAATTTATTAATATCTGCACTTTAATTTGTATCGGAAACAAAAGTTTTAGAAAATACAAACATTAATTAAAGTATGTACGGGTATTAGAATCATATTAAATGTTTTTTATGTTATTTATAAGAAATATTTAAACTATAACCTAAGATAGACGACCCATTATCCACAAATTATTAGTTGAATCTTTTTATCAGTAGTTGACTATCCTATATAATATTATAAACTGGTAGTAAACTTTCAAACGGACAACTATTATAAATAAAATAACACAAGTTCAGCGATCAGCGGAAATTTGCAACAGTGATCCACTATGTTCCAAACTTATCATTTTTCAAGACATGCTGCTAGTCATTTCATCATTAGATGAATCAAAAAACTTTTCATTCGATATTGAATATTATATACTTACGAAGCTGTTAAAGATTTGGCGTTGCAGTAAATAAAGTCTTCAAGAGATATTTAATTCTCTATGTGTTGACGATGATTACCTAAGTCGAATAAAACACGACTTTTAGGAAATTTAAACATCCACTGTATTTAAAGTGAACGTCAGAGAAAAAAGATGTAAGGGTAGAACTTATATTCATGATGATAAGGTCTAGGGAGCACTAATTACACTTGATGTACGCGACTGAATAAAGCGCACAAAAGAGACGTCTGTTATTCATTCATAATCTCTAAATAAAGCAATCAAACCACGATACTGGGTAATAAAATAATTTAAAATGATTATTATTATTTTATAATTGATCATTTCTGTACAGCACACCTTTATTTGCCTAAGTAAATTTCACTTTTGTCAAGAATTTTTTTTTTTAATATTTATTTCGTCATTATTATTTTATTTCCAAATTAAAATTTAAAAAGTTTATGTATAAAAAACATAAAAATTTTGACATTGTCTTTTTCGAAACTAAAATAATATTCAAAGATACTTACATATTCATATTTTAGATTCCGGAATAAAGAATATTAAATGGTGGAATTCTTATCTTTACTTTCGGAACTCTATAGTCGTTTTTGCTGTAACTGACCACACATGAAAGAATAGAATATTAACAGGTAGACGACGCATAGTGGAACAATGAAATTTGATCATTGTAGATCTTTTGTGCTTCTACTAATGCCAACCAAACAAAAATCACATAGTGTTTCAAATGAAGACCAGAATGTGCTTCATTAAAAAGTTCCTAATATCGGACCTGACTACCATATTAGTGGATTGTTGAAAGGGATTTCTGATAAATTAATTTATTCTTTAAATAAAGTCATGACGATGCGAAAGAGTGTAGAGTAAAAAGCGTTAATAATTTTAAACAATAATAAAATAAGGAAACTACACTTTTATACCAATAAATCAATATTATATTGTTAATTTTTTTTATTCTCTGTCTTAAATAATACAATATATTACTTAATCTCTCATTATCCACTTCTACCTCGTGTATTCTTTGAAACATTCCGTTTGGTAGTTCTTCTACGTCGTGTTGTTCGTCTTCGAGTAGGCCTTGCTACAGGTCTTCTTATTGGCCTTCTAGAAGTTGGACGTCGATTACCTGATTTATTTATTTATCTACATTAGTTTATCAATTTAAAACGAACAGTTTCAGTTTACCTGTACTTGGTCTTCTATTTCCATTGTTACCAGAACTACTCCCGGCTGGCAGTGAAATGGAAACACTGTGCACATTATTACTATCTCTTGTTTCTGTGTATATATTAACACCAGGAGCTGTATAATTATTAATTGTTACCGTATTACTTGATACACGAGTCGCGCTTATCTTTAAATTCAAAAAAACTACAAAAATATTTATTGTACATAAAATATAAATTTTTGAATTCATCATTCTAAATTAGATAGCTTAAGAATTGTATCTATCAAATCTGTTATTATACTGACCAAATTTTTGTTGCTTCAGGTGTATTTAAATTAATTAAAATTATTTTCACATTTATGTTACGTACTGCAATATATAAAAATATTTATTTTATTATAATATTTACTTTATAAAAAATCAGTAAATAACAAAACAGTTCTAGTTCTTAGTATTCTAAGTGAATATACATAACATATGCAATAGTTCACAAATTTTTCAATTATCAAAAAGTGACGTATTTTCTTTTTTATTGTTCTAAATATGAATGTTAGACTATAAAAAATAGCTAATTTTCCTAGTACGTAGTAAAGTACAATATATAATGAGTAAATCAACACATTAAAAAATTAAAGTTTTTGTATGTATTCCTACCTTGTTTTTTACCTCTGATAGTTGTCAGATGGATGGTTGATAGTTACATGTAATCCACAAAATGTAATCCAAAATAAAGCTACACGAAGTCATTTAATTGACTCAGTTAATTATGCAAATGAACATATATGACAATTATATATGACAATGAAATTAAATAATGCTCTTCTGGGCACCTTGTTATTCAGGTACTGCTGCAAATAAAAATATGAACCATCGTATAAGAATCGAGTTATCTAAGTTTACGAGACTTTATTGTGCAATCAGCTGGTGTACAATTAAGACTCTAATTGACAATTAAATATAAATGTCAAATCAAATAAATAATATATCTTTAATAAAATTTTTAATAAAAACTTTTAACTAAAGCATCTAATTTGTCAATTTCTCCTCAAATAGGCAAATTGCCTTAGCACGAACAAACTAGATTTACCGAAAGATTACTTAAAAGCATACTTAAAGAAGAGTAGCACTGTTTCTTACATTCTATTTCACTGTACTGTTTTGATCTGGGCAGCTAGAGAATTATTGCTAAAATTTCTTGATTCTGTTGCAAATTAAAAACTCGTCTGCAACAGATAATGTAATATTGTAATTAAGTACATAACTGCTTTTAGCCATTTGCACTTTCTTATAGTATATGCTTAAATAACTTCTACTAATCTTATTTAAAACTTATCATTTCAAAACCTATTACGTTGTAGTGGGTGAACCTGTTTACATAGATCGTACTATTAGTAGATGTGAATCACATAAATTTTTTTTTGATAAAATAATCTCCACAGTTAACAATGAATACAACCATGCAATCCAATTTGAATTTATTCACAAGGGTTGATATTTCTTCCACAGAAATTGTTGGGTATTCACAATTTGTATAGGAAATTCATAAAAGATCCTTGCGTGAGAGCACTTATTCTTAAGATGTATTATCTTTAGAATAAGTTCTAAATAAGTTTAGAATAAGTTCTTACTTGTTTCTTATATTATATTATGTTTAGTATTAATTACAGAAAATTTTAAAATCGGGATAGTAATTATGTTTGTATATAATTTTTGGTCAAATTTTTTAAATTTAACAGGGATTTATTATTAGCGATTTCACTCTAATAATTATGTGTGGACAATTAAGCCAATAAATATATCTAAAGACCATTGATTATGTTAACGTAACGTTAACATATCAAAGAGAAAATATAAAATAATAATTTTACATTTCCAAAAAGTTTATTAGCCAATTTATTATGATTGTACATCGAAAATAGGATATTTAAATTATTCGTTCAAGATGGGTTGAATTATAAATTAAGGTTAAATTACATAAATAACTAATAACTAAATATAACTAATAAAAAGCTGTTATTAACTCTCTCTTCAATTAAAAAATTTAAAAAAATATATATATAAGTGTGAAATATAAATCATAATTTGAGTTCATATTTATTTTATTTATCATGTATTAACAATGTTGATTTTAGAGCACAATGTAATTAAATAAAATTAATAGCTGACATGAAATTTGTTCTATGTTTATTTAAATTGTAATAAATTGTTTAATTTAATATCTATGATTGTCTTTAAATTATTATATATGTAAACATATAGGATTAACGTAATATAATGAACTAAACTAAGTGGACGTACAAAGTTATACATACTTTTAAAATTATGTACAAATTTACAATATAAAGAGTAAAAATATTCATATTTATATACAATATATATAATATTATTTTAATACAAAATGTAATCGAGTTAATTGCGTTTTATTCAATTAATTTTCTAATTTTACTTTAAAATTGTATTCTTTAAGACACAAATGAAAATTATTTTTTCAAAATGGTCTTGCTTATTGTGAAAATGTGATTTACATATTAATATATATTGAAATATATCTATAAGCTGCATTTGGTGTTTGGAGAAAACACAGGAACTTGATATTAACAATGCGTTAACATTTGAGCATTAAGGTTTTATACAACTAAATTGGTGATAAATATGTGCGTTGCAGTTCAGTTAACTGAGGATGCCAAACATCTACAATTAAAACCAGTCGCATACTGCTCCCATTATGCCATACCTCATGTTCGAAACTATCATCAAAAATAATGAATTTGCCCTCTTGCCAATTACTGCAACAAACAATTTTGAAAGTTTATATAAATTTGTATAATGTGAATAAATTATAGAGAAATAATTACCGTGTCTCCTCAGCAACACGTATAGCAGTACCATCTGGTATAACTAAACCTAAATGTGCACGTAAACGACAATTTGTGGGACCACAGTGCGGCCATACATGAGTATTTGGTAACATAACACTAAATTTTACTTGACCTCGCTTACATTTACTGGCGGCATGAAAGCTCTCTATCATTTCGCAAGTCATTGGAGCTTTATTGCAATTTTCATCATGACGCTGTCCACGGGCATATATCTCAAATTGTTTCCAATCACCAATTTCCCTCAGATTTTCTGCTTCATTTAAAAATAAATTGTCAGCACTTAACAAATTTAAACCTTCATCTCGAATAGCTTGCCAGTTATTTTCTAAGATATCGAAAAAAGAGGCATATGTAGTTTCTT